CTATCTTATCCAGTGGAATGTGTTTTAATTTTGTAATATATATGGTTATGTTTGTATGTGGATAGGAATGAAATGTGGAGGGTTAAATCAGTGTTATACTGTGTTATGATAAAACTTTCTTTTCTCGACTATTTCATTACGCACAATATGTTTTTCTTTTCCTTTTTCGTTTTTATTTTTATTTTTCTTTTTTTCAGGTTTGATACGAAACGATTCTCCCTCGGAGTCAAGCACTTCGATCACCTGCCGGTAAAAGAGTACTTGACGCTCTCCCTCCTTGTGCTCGCTGACGGATGAACAAAGCTAGCAAAGTACTTCGTCCGACTAGTAAATGTTCACCCGCTTATATACCTTAAGCCAGGGCTGATGGGATCCACATGTTGGTCCTATAGATCACGTTTAAGTCGCCAATGGTCATGAGTGATCGAAAACCTTGCTTGGGTCGCCTCGTTGGGGAGAGCTCGTTGCTCTCCTAATCCGATGACGTCATCGCCTCGTTGGGGAGAGCTCGCCCCATTCGACGACGTCATCGCTGCCGACACTCCCGTCGTTGTGGCACCTCTTGTGCCCCCCAACGTTGGCCCCAAGGGAAACGTATTCAAGCACCCTGAGCACCCTGCCGCCACAGGAGGCCGGAAGGAGGCGCTTGCGCTAGTCGTGGAAGAGCCCGAGGCGAGGCTTCCTCGACACTGATGCTAGGCTTCCGATGGCCGGCCTTGTGCCCGCCTAGGGCATGATACGACCCGAATGCCTACCCGTAGACGAAAGGCCTGTACTCGAGCTTCGCCGGCCAAGTCGGAGGACAACAATGGCAGGCGACGAGTACCGGGCCCTCATCTTCGAGCGAGCACTAGGAGGCAGAGCGCCAAGTACTCATTTGCTGATCGAAGCGCTTGGGTCCGAGGGAAAATCGTTCCATATCAAACCTTAAAAAAAAACGAAAAAGAAAAAAAAATATTGTGCATAATGAAATAGTTGAAAAAAAGAAAGTTTTACAATAACACAGTATAACACAGATTTAACCCTCCCCATTTTATTCCTATCCACATACAAACACAACTATATATATTATAAAATTAAAACACATTCCACTAGATAAAATAGATGAATAAAAAAATTAACCTATAGAGTGCTATTAGTCTTAATAACTCAAAAAAATAAGAGTAAGCTCAAGGATTGTCTATAAAATGGTTCTGATAGTACACGATCGAGTCTTAATAGCTCAAAAAGACAATACGTCAACTTAGGTGATATTTATAACATTTTTCTCTACTTATTATACCATAAACTGTCATAATCAAAATAAACACGATAAATAACATAAAAACAAATAGTATCACACATTTAGTCATCATGTGATGACTAAGTGTATGATACTATTTATCTTTATAGTATTTATTGTGTTTATTTTGATAATAATAGTTTATGAAATAATAAACAAAGAAGAATGTTACAAACGTCACCTAAGTTTATGCCCCTTATCTTTTCGAGCTATTAAGACTCGATTGTGTACTATCAGAATTATTTTATAGACAATCTTTGAACCTACTCTTATCTTTTTAAGCTATTAAGACTAATAATTCTATATAAATTAATACATTTATTCATCTATCTTATCCAGTGTAATGTGTTTTAATTTTGTAATATATATGGTTATGTTTGTATGTGGATAGAAATGAAATGTAGAGGGTTAAATCAGTGTTATACTGTGTTATGATAAAACTTTCTTTTCTCGACTATTTCATTACGCACAATATGTTTTTCTTTTTCTTTTTCGTTTTTATTTTTATTTGTTTTTTTCTTTTTTTTTCAGGTTTAATACGAAACGATTCTCCCTCGGACTCAAGCACTTCGATCACCTGCCGGTAAAGGAGTACTTGACGCTCTGCCTCCTTGTGCTCGCTGACGGATGAGCAAAGCTAGCAAAGTACTTCGTCCGACTAGTAAATGTTCACCCGCTTATATACCTTAAACCAGGGCTCATGGGATCCACATGTTGGTCCTATAGGTCTCGTTTAAGTCGCCAATGGTCATGAGCGATCGAAAACCTTGTTTGGGTCGCCTCGTTGGGGAGAGCTCGTTGCTCTCCAAATCCAACGACGTCATCGCCTCTTGGGGAGAGCTCGCCCCCTCCGACGATGTCATCGCTGCCGACACTCCCGTCGTTGTGGCACCTCTTGTGCCCCCCAGCGATTGCCCCTAGGGAAACGTATTCAGGCACCCTGCCGCCACAGGAGGCCGGAAGGAGGCGCTTGCGCTAGTCGTGGAAGAGCCCGAGGCGAGGCTTCCTCGACACCGCTGCTAGGCTTCGGAATGCTGGCCTTGTGCCCGCCTAGGGCATGATACGACCCGAATGCCTACCCGTAGACGGAAGACCTGTACTCGAGCTTCGCCGGCCTAGTCGGAGGACACCAATGGCAGGCGATGAGCATCGAGCCCTCCTCCGCGAGCGAGCACTAGGAGGCAGAGCGCCAAGTACTCCTTTGCTGATCGAAGCGCTTGGGTCCGAGGGAAAATCGTTCCATATCAAACCAGAAAAAAAAAACGAAAAAGAAAAAAATATATATTGTGCATAATAAAATAGTTGAAAAAAAAATGTTTTACCATAACACAGATTTAACCCTCCCCATTTTATTCCTATCCACATACAAACACAACTATATATATTACAAAATTAAAACACATTCCATTAGATAAGATACATGAATAAAAGTATTAATCAATATAGTGCTATTAGTCTTAATAACTCAAAAAAATAAGAGTAGGTTCAAGGATTGTCTATAAAATGATTCTGATAGTACACGATCGAGTCTTAATAGCTCAAAAAGACAAAAGACATCAACTTAGGTGACGTTTGTAACATTCTTCTCTACTTATTATTCCATAAACTGTCATAATCAAAATAAACACGATAAATAACATAAAAACAAATAGTATCACACACTTAGTCATCATGTGATGACTAAGTGTATGATACTATTTA